TCTTTCGCTGTTTGCCTGTCAATCATACTTTTAATTACCTAATTGTTAGATCTGTTAACAGCCAAGACTGGTTGACAACTTTAGGGTAAAGGGCCTAATAATTTTACTGTCAACAGTACTCCAGTTTTTTCAGTACAAGGAAAGAAAACAAATGCAGCCTTCAACACAAACAAATGGAAAAAACAGCCCCAAAAGCAGCATGAAGCGAACGACAGGCAAGCTGTAGCACACTCAAATGATCAAGCTTCTGTAAGTAGGTGAGCATTGTGCATGGAGTTGTCTGGTCTGGGGCTGTTGTTTGCATTTGCCTAAAGTCTGAATCAAACCCTAATTTGTGCTGAGTGTATAGAAAGTTTGAGAAATTCAGTTCTAGTTAAAAAGTGAGGAGTATTGTGTAGTGGTTTCTACCTGCTGAAAGCTTTGGTTGACTGTTTTTATTCCTCCTGACACTTTTAATGGTAGGAAGGACCAAATCTTGACAGTGCTGCACAAAGTAGGCATGACTGTCAGGAGCAAAATATACTGTGCATAATCTTGGAAACTGAACTTCAAATGGCAGTGTCTGTGCCTCACTGTCTGCACAGCTGACTAACATTTGTGCTGTGTTAAAGGGTACAGAGAGAAGTCCCTATGGTGCACAGTGAGCTTTCTAGAAAAGTGTGTGACTTAGAAAAAAAGCCTCATTTCAGGAAGAGAACATAGCTTTAAAGTAATTTTTTATTTCTTTCTTAAAATAATTTCTTCTTTCATACCCACATGCACATTTTGTGGCTAATACACTGACATACAGTCACATGATTTGCCAGCTTTTTAGTAATTGACATGTATTATTTCTACCTTAGGGTAGATAGAGGTACATAGAGACCAGAATTATGACAGATGTTTCTCTGTAATCAGCTATCTACAAATATTTTGTAAGGCATAGTCTGGCCTAAAGATATCACACTCTGTTTTAAAAACAGTTCAGTTTTGTGTTTGCTTTTTATCTCTGTCATCTTCATTTTGTGGGACAAAACCAGAGATTGCTACTTTACTGGGAGCCAAATATTTCTCTAACTAGAGTGGGGCATTTGCTGGTACCAAAGTTTTACTCCTATCACTGGAGTCACTAGTTCAGTTTCCTCCTTTTGGATCAGTATTTAGGTTGTAGGAGTTTTCGTTGTGATGAGGTAATGTGTCTGTTTTGTCTTTTATTGATTAACTCTTTTCCCACATTCTTCTGGCAGAGTGCAAAGGTTTGTAAAGCATAGGAGTCTTTGTCTGGAGCTGTTTAGTTAGCATTACTCTTAGTAAACATAGTTACTTTTACTAACTCCCTGGCAGATTCTTAAATACTGCTACTACAAAACCAACAGCATGAAATACACTTTAGGCAAATGGTATGCCAGCCTGTAGCCAATTTCTTTCTCAAATAATGGCCAAGATGAAAAATGTCAGTGTACCCAGATTTCAGCTTAACTCTGGTTACAAATTACTGGTTATATTATTTGCCCATAATTCACAAAGAAAATCAAAGGTATCTGTCCAACAGGCAAGCTAGTCACAGTCTATTTCTTAGATTTTTGTGGAGAAGAGGAGCTTAAACCAAAATATTTACTTTTAAGGGATGTAAAATTTGCTGTTCCAGACATGTTTATCATTAAAAGTTCTGATCCAGAGATCATTAAAGCCTATTATTAAACTTCTACTAATTTAAAGAGCTTTAGATTAGATCCAAACAGGCAACCTTTGAGCACTTTTACAGGATCTGGTGGACTGCAAGAAGAGTATTTCATAAAACTTTTACGTGCTACTGCTGTTGACATCCCCATTGACAAATACAACATCATAATTTCTCTGTTTCCAGATGGCATTAGATTTTGGAGCAGAATTATGGCTCTGTTCCTCAATGTGTTCATTCATCGTCTTGCAGAAGTCAACAAAAGTCAGCAGAGACAAACTGGAAGTACCTGGTACAGTTTCCTGGGATGTATACAAAGAAATATGATAATTTTTTTTTTTTTTCAGTTTTAAAATTGGCACACAGAGACTAGAAAATTACTAGAGTGGTATTAAATGATCCAGAAGTTAATGTTATGCTACTGTTTCTTATCTTTGCTTTTTGCTCTTTTCTCAGTATCTTAGATTGCTTAAGGCTTGCACATTAACAAGGCAGAAGGTTGTTGCTTTATAACACCACCGTGGGTTGAGTGACTGGTACCAGGCTGTCCCTTGGGTCTGCTGCTGCTTTTACCATCACGATAAAACAAACTACAGTGGGACCCAGTGTAACGGCAAGATCCAGCTCACAAATACAGATAAGGAAAATAGCTCCTACTGAAAAGGAAAGTAACGGGCATGTCTTGGTTGCTCAAAGCCTGGCTATTACCAGCATCCTTGCTTGCTCTTTCATTTTGTGCTAGATAAGAGCGCTTGTAAAATTCAGCTACCTGTTCCCTGGCAGATCTGATGTAAATAAACCTATCCAAAATGATAGCCAGTTCTCTGCATAGAAATTCAGGTCTTTTCCTCAATGCCTCCTGGGACATGCTTTGTGCCCTCGCACCTTCTGAATCTGGGAGCTGCCTGGGGAGGCTGGAGGTCCCCATGCAGCATGCCCAAGGATGAGAAGTCACGGCTCCTCACAAAGCTGGTAGCTCCTGGCAGCCAAGACCGGTCCTTTACGTTGGAATCACCAAAATGTTCATCCGATGAATGATCTTTTCTGTGTTTAGTGAATCTTTCATGTCTCAAAATGTAGATATGGATACCAAGGCTCTGAGCAATGCATCATAAACAATGAATTTCCTTTGCTGATTTGTGGTGCTGAAATGTTATTCTCCATTCTCATTTATTGCCTATTTACCAATTATCTTACATAAAATGACATCAGGCTTGACAAAGGTGTTTTGCTTCTCATAAAAATAACTACATGCAGAGATTCGTGACCTGATGACTAGTTATGTCCTGTGTATAGTGTTACTTAACTACCAGTCAAGCCAGGAGCAAGCTGACTCCTCCAAACTCCTTCCTCCTGTAGGCTGTGCTCCTTCCCTCTTGGCTAAAAACAACTGCAGCTAAAACCATTCATCTCTGGAGGTATAGCAGTATCATAGAATCATAGAATAGTTAGGCTTGGAAAGGCCCTTAAGATCATCTAGCTCCAACCCCCCTGCCATGGACAGGGACACCTCCCACTAAACCATCTGCTATGTCTACTCCCTGCTACTTCTGTCAATTCCTGTCACGCAGCTGGGTCATACGTCTTAGAAGATAAAATAAATGGTGAGGCTGCTCAGATTTGGGAACCCCCAAATGTAAATGGGCTGATCTAGAAAGTAGATCACACAGAAGCATCCTCAGAACTCTAAGGAATGCAGGGAATGCAGGGAACTCTAAGGCATGTTCTGGTACTCACCCCAGAAATATTTGTTCTGTCTCAAGACTTCACATTGGCTGTTGAAGGCCATGGGTTCTTGACCAAAAGTCCAGTCTCCAAAAGTAGATGATTAAATTCTCTGTATTCTCAAAAAAAGAAACCATCCTACACAATGCAAACTAAAAAATAGAGGTTTTATTTGTCGCAGTCCCAACTTCAAAATAATGCATTCTCAAGACGTTACAGGGGAAGTTGTAAAGCAAAGGGCAGGTTTTAGTTGGCTCAGATTTCTTGCAAGCTAGATATGTCGTACAGTGCCGAATATGGTTTCCTGCATTGTTTCATGCTGTTATTGTTTTGATTTTATTATTTGCATCATCCTAACACTCTAAAATCCCAATTTATAGGAGTCCCACTGTGCTGGGGTTCATAAAGACAGAGAAAAAAAACAGCTCTACCTGCTGAGTTTGTTTTCTAAGGACAAACCAGGAGAAGAACATGGTCTGCCTGAGAAGCCATCATGTCAGACATGTGGTGTGTGGCCTGGGGAATGCAGTATGCATAATTTTCATAGACTTTTTGACAAGCTTCCGAGGAAGTGCACGTCCTTATCATAACTGTGCATACACCTAATGAAATCTGGAACTAATAGTGCATAAATCTTTCTACTCAAATCATAAATTAGATGTTCTAGAACTGTACTATCATAATAAAGCCTGTATTCATAGGCTGATTATTCTTTTCTTCTTCCCTGTCCTCATGGGGGCTGTGTTCAACTCCTCAGCTGATGTACTCCTAATCTCTGACCGTTCATTCATTACCATAAAGATTACTCCATGCACTTTGAGCATGAAATAAAACAGAAATTTAATACCATGCTCATTTTAGATCCCAATATCAGGTTGTTTATGGGAAAAAAAAAGAAAAAGAAAAGGAAGTTGATCTATTCAGTTTTTCTTTAAGGAATATTGACAAGCTGCTTTGAAGACTTGCTTTGAGGCTAAGTTAATAGTTTTGCTGTGGTTTTAAGGGAAAGGTGAAGACAGAAGATGAAATTAGATCAGCAGGAGGCTAAAAGTCCTTTCCCAGAACACCTGGAGAGGTTAAATAAACTGCATATGGCCCACGTTGAATTTACACATTGTTAAGGCTTCTGGGAGTCAGGGGGAAAACTAGGTAGACTGCTAACTTGCCATCTTAAGCAAAAATTGGCTGGGGGAATGATTACTGCAGTCTGAAATAAGCATAACGTATAATGTATAAAACACAGTTCTTCAATTTGACTAAAATTTTCACGAGTCTGATTATGGTCCTGCATGTAAGGTCCTGAAAACTAACCTATGCAGGGTAAATTTTTGTTTGGTTTTATATGCAGTGTGGGAATTTGGGTTTGGTTGGGCTTTTTCTGGGGGGAGGTGAGAGGGGGATGGGGAGGAGGAGGAGAATAAGGGTGCATGCATGCATTTCTTTTTTTGCTAAGCTACAAATGCCCTGACTCCCTATGGGCTTGCAACAACACCAGAGTTTGATGATGCCCTGAAATAAATGGCAGCCATGGTATGCTTTCACTCAAGTATTCAGGGTATCAAGGTTGGTTCACTGAAAGTACCATTTGATGCTATCCACTGACAATGTGCTTTTGTTTGTAACAAACTCTGAAGCCACAATCCTCGCCCTTCTAGAGTTAATCCAAGATCTTGGCTTGCTTTCAGGCTATAGAATTAACTCAGAAAAGTTGGAACTGCTTGAGATCTCCCAGCTGCCTTGCACAACGGCTTTTCTTCCAGTGCAACTCCTGAAGGCAGTCAGAAGCAATTAAATGTTTGAGGCATGAAATCAGGAATTTCAAAAAACTTGCGGAGTTGAATTTAAAATCCACTGTCCTTCAACTGGCAGAAGACAACAGGTGGTAGCAAGTGATTTATATGTTTCTTCTGGGAAAAATTAACAAATTCACATTTTACTTAGATTTTTTTTGCATGTTTTGAGTAGCTTATTTTTCTTCATATTGTACCCTGGGGTGATGGTTTTGGACTATTTTTGAGAGAGTATAGACTCCCTACTGCTAGGAAGAGTTGCTGAACCTGCAGAGCTTTTACTGTTCTGTTGTCACGCATTGAGCCCTTCACTGATCCCACCAAACCTGTAAAAACAGCCCATGGGAAGGGGGTGGAAAGAGCATTAAAACACTTTCTCACTCCAAAATCCTGGGTCATTCTCTACATGGTGAAGCCTAAACTGTTCTGGCTGATAGACTGCACCTGACACTCCACAAAACCTTACTTGAGGGTCATTCCTCCATAGGATAGGTTAGTTGCCAGTGTTTATGGCAAGAACTGATTGAAGAGAATATCTCTATTTTGGGTTGTGTTATAAGTTCCAGTTATATAAATATAGGTATTTTATTGATCTTTGGTCTATAAATATATGGCATTTATGCAGCTCTAAGCTGTTCTGTGTTTGGTCATCCTGTGTTCTTGTGACAGAAGAGGTATTTTTGATTTCTGTAGATGCTTCTGAAACCTATTACAAAGAGTAGGAGTGGAAAGCCTTGGCAAGCAAGCTCATGATTGTGTGCTGTGTGGCCAGGTTAGCCTTTAAGTATGCATGTCAGACAACAGGTTATGTAAATGAGCATATTTTTATATTGAGCTCAAGGCAATGGAAGGAAGGCTGTAAACAGACATGTGGTGGCTCATGTGATATTTTTGCATCTGAATACTTCAAGACACTGAAGAAGCAACCCAACATAAAGACAGCTAGTGAATGGCATGTGGAGAATGGAAGGCCAGTGAAGTTCATTCAAGAACTCCTACCAGGATGTAGATGCTGACTCTTAAAATGGCAAATATGATTATTGGCTGTGTAAGGAGTAGGAAGATAGGGAAAAAACTCCAGGGTTACTGAGGCTAAACTTCACAGAGTGTGTGGAAAAAATAGAAACAGCATTTAGGACAGAGCTACCAGAATGAGTCAAGGACTCAGAAAGATCTTTTGATCAGAGAGAGAAGTCAGACAATATTTTCCTACTAGTGCAACAAAATGAGAGATGACAGGAGCACAGCTACTAATTGTGCCTTTAACTCTACTAATAGGCTTCTTAAGGACACAACCCTCTGGATGCCCAATCTGGTATCGTTTATATGGTTAAATGGTATATATGCACTAGGGAATCCCTCTTGGACAGTGCTGGAGTGGATTAGGGTGTCTACTCTTGCATAAGACTTCCCCTTTACATCTCATTTTTCACCTTGATAAGAAGATGCCGATACCTGAGCTTTGCAGGGAGGTTAAATTTGTATTTTAGCTTTGAAGTTTCAACCTGTCTCAACTGTATATGGAAAAGAATATTAACCCTGACGGTTTAGTTTTTTACACAAAATCAGTGGTAGCTAGCACTTTGATAGGTTCTCAAAAAAGGTGCTTAAAAAAAATAATCTCCAAAGTCAAAGCCTTCTATTGTATTTCCAGATAGAAAAATAGATGAAAGCTAAGAAGATATGCCAAGTAATTCCAAAATCAACTTTAAAGCACACGATCACGTCTTGGCAATCTGAAAGCAGTGTGTGGAGAAAAGGGTTGGCAGAGGAGTGAAGAAAAGAAGTATTCTACAAAAAAAGAAATGGCATGTCTTGGCAGAGATACAATGTTTGCTAACCTGTTGAAGGGTTCAGTTGTAAAAGAACTGTGTTCATGAGAACTGAAATAGAGCAGAAACCATTTACCACTTGATGTTTTAAAGCAAACTGCCAAATAAAATTCTGAAAGGTTTCACTTTGCAGATCAACTCGACCTTATCATGTGATAACATAGCAGGAAAATCTGTGCTCCCACTAGTTTCCTTAATAATGCATCTGAGAAGAAGACAAATCACATTCTGCTCTCAGTTACAGTGGAGTGAGCCATAATATATCTGCTGAATTCATATTTATTTTGGCATATCTGAGAAAATAAGGTAGCCCAAAAGGTGCAGAAGGAACAAAATCAGTCACTTGGGTGATGGATTTGAATTATATACCAGGAGTTGGATGTTCAGTAGGGAAAGTATTGATTTGTGGTGGGTGTGGTTGATTTTAAAAGTGCAGGATATATTGTTAAGCTAGTCTTGCACATCAACACCTTCAGCATTAGTTTTTTTCAGATATAGACAATTACTTTGCCTCCTTTTTCTGTGACTTTCTGTATCAAGTTCTATACAAATATATTGCATGCAATGACCTAAACTCAAGAGAAAAGGGAACCTTAAATGTAGCAGTAATCATGGGAAAAAGTCACCTGAAACACTTCTAAAATTACCATGGAAAGAAATGCATGGAGAAGGTGAGGCTCTAGTAGCTTTGTGGGTGACTGGTTGTAGCTATCTTGTGCAGATACTCCCTGGCACAACAGTCAGGCAGTGTCACTGCTTTTCTGCAGCCCCATCAGGAATGCCAAAACACATGACCAACCAGCTCTGATAGGTTTTTAAAAATTATTGTTTAGACTGAGGTTTTACTAATCAAGCAGGGAGCAGCTGAACTTTACTCACCCAGACAGAAGCTTTCTTACCCCTATCCAACAACAGATAGCCCTGGTCTTTGCTCACCCAAGTGGATGCACACACAGGCAGGCATTGAAGCTGTGTTTGGTTACACATGGGTTTTATCCAGCTTGAAAGATCCCTGTGTTTGTCCTTAGCAATTAACTTTTCTGTTATCTGTCTTCAGTGTAATGGCTTGGCTGCATGTGCTCCTCGGGAGGGCTCTGCTGTGAGTACACAGCTGAGGACGTAAGAGGGACATATACAGTGAGGTTGTCTCATATGGATTGGTTTTGGTATGCAAGGTGTTTCTTCAATGACTCTTGTTTTCTGAGTAGCAGCTCTTGTTATACAAAGATAAAAGAAGGGTTAAAGCAAGCCCTTTTTCAGCCCCCTTTCTTCCCTGCCCCCAACAAACACACACACTCTCAACAAAATCTCTAAATCATGCTCTCTTCCTGGAGCTCCAAGACTGAGTTACACATAGGACCTCTGTAGCTGCACAGTGCCACACTATTCTGAACAAGATGCTGAAGGCACTTGAGTTTCTTTTACTCTCTTCCCTCCCCTCCGCCCCAGATTTAACCTAGTTTTATGGCATGAACAGCCCCAAAGAAAGTGGTAGAGAAAAGAGATGAAGGCCAGAGAGCAGAGAAGGACCAATGAAAGAAGCAGTAACCATTCTGTCATTCCTTTGGAGAGCAACACTAGACACCTTTAAATGCAGAGAGTGTCCTCTGCCTTTTTGCCAAAGCCCTTTTATCTGTGTGAATAAAAAGGGAGGCAGGTCAGCCTAGTTTCTGTTGCCAAATAAAAGCATGAATAAATTAGGCTATTCTTAGTAGGCAAGTGAAGGGGGGGGGGGGGGGGGGGTAAGTCAGTATCTATTTCTAAAGCAATTTCATATTCTGCCCCAACTGTTTGCACATGATAGAAAGGGGCTGGAGCTGCCTACTATTATGATTAGTACTATTGTTATTGCTGAAGGGCCTCATTGTTCTAGAAGATGTTAGGTTTGCACGATTCACAATCCGTCTCTATTCATCCAGGAAAGGTTAGGAGAGAGGATCTGATATTCTGCAAAGGGTTTTCTCCCCCTGCTCCTCCCCCTGCCTTCTCCTTTACTGGCTTAAGGCAGAAAGCAGGCAGAAGGTCTCCTATTAACTAGAATTAGGAAACAGGGATCTAGGTGCCTGGGAACAGCAGCTCCGTAGCTCTAATCCCAGTGAGGACCTTAATTGTATCTGGTTTAACAGTTATTCATGCAGTTTTACTGCAGGCAGGCATGGTGATTAGGGACATTGGTTGGAAAAATCTGTTCATTAGCCTAATAAAGACTGCCTAAGCCTGCGTGTTCAGCCACTAATAATCCAACTATTAATGCTGTGCTAGATGTTGTGGTATTAATATGTGTAGTTTACTAGAGTTGCAACAGCAATATGGGTCAGTTTAGTCGTTCCTTGGTTTCTCAATCAGACACCTTGTGCTAGTGCAAGAGAGAGAAAATGAATGAGTGAGTCTGACAAAACAGATTACACCATATAGCGAACCGCCAGTATGTTTTTTCTGCAATTAGGAGGCAGCCCAGGAGCCTTAGGAACTGGGTTGTTTGAGGACAAGGAAATCAGCCCCTTTCAGTGATGAATGTTCTTGAAAAGCAGTTTATTTTTTACATAGGTGGTTTGCTCATTTTCTTCACAGAAGAGCTTTGGCTGTCTATCAGATATTAACAGAGGGTAATTGCTGGGGGAGAAGGATGTTCACCCTGCCCACAGCATCGTGCATTGCATGGGCACACACGCCTCCCGGTGTGTGCTGAGACCAGCACCCAGCTTGGGAATGTCCAGGTTGTCTTTGGAGGAGGAAAAAAAGAGGTATAATTGTCTTTTTCTCTGCTTCATCGATTTCCCTCAGATGACCTAAACTTTTCCTTTCCTGGTAGAAGGAGGTAAAAATACTGCTCACACTTTAGGGGGATTCATCTGCCCTAAGCATAATCCTTGGGTTGCTAATTAGAGTATCACCAGCTCCTCTGTGAAAAAATCCTGTCATTCATCTTCCTCTTTTATTTATAGGAATGATTTGTTGCATTTTTCATTGTTTGATAAAAATTACACTAATGTAATACTATAAAAAAATTGTTGCCAGAGCTCTTTCTACGGAAGCTCTTTCTAAAGATTTTAAGGAGAGATAAGAATATCAAGAGGTGGATTATTGCTTTTTTCCTTCTATAGCTTATCTTAAACCTTCTTGTTCTCAATATTTGTTCCTGTAAGACATTATATGTAACCAAAATTTGCTTTGATTTTGAACCATTCAAGGGTCATAACCACAAGTGGGATACAAAATTAAGCATGTACAAACTGTGTGTGCCTGTTAATAGCAGTAATATCTTTCATAAAATGAGAAAGAATAAACCAGACAGGTAGGTGGCCTATTGCTACCTACATCTATCCATCAAAATCCAATGGATTTGCATTCTACTTCCCCCTGATAAATACCACTTAAAACACATGGCAAAACAAAAAACATTCAAATGGAGAAAAAATGCATTGCATCTTCACTGACCCTCACCTGCTTTCTTCTAAACCCAGAAAAAAACTGATTGAAACCCTTCCACAAAGTGCAAGAACCAAAATCTGTCCTTGCTGAGTGCAGCATTGTCTATGTAGGAATGGCATTGTATAAGAACAAAAGAAGTTGGGTATTGTTCAGTACCTTTAGAATAGATAGATATCTTAATGCATGCCTTTTCAGCTAATGATTTTATTTTCTATTCTAGGTGTGTATTTTAATTGCAATTCATGTATGTTCATTAAAAAAAAAAAAAAGATTATTTTAATCCATTTGATTAGTATCTTGGGGTTTCATGTCAGTGCTATTCACTATTTTTTGATAGTGCTGCATTTGAACTGTTTGTTTAGTGAAGTTAAGAGAGAACATGCCAGGCGGGCATATACTGTGTCCATGCGCAAATGTCTACATCTGTGATGCTGGTGGTACACTAAGTAGTGTTACACATTTCATAAATTTCAGTCAAATGAATAAGTGTATTTTTCATGCTCCTGTGGTCATCAGCTTCATGTCTGTGTTCTGAAATGCTGCTTTCAGAACTACTGCTGCAGATACCATGTAGATTCAGATAGGAGTAAGGATGTGCTTTTTCTTCCCCATGATATGTTGGCTTGGAAAGCAGTGAACAATATTCACCTGTGAAAAAAAAATAGAGAGAGGCTTTATGACTGATATTCTCTAATGTTTAAGGTTGGAATTCTAAATGTTATAGTCTGAAGGCTGGACTAGTTCTGGAACTTCACTGAGAAACATCCCATGTGCTCATAGTTCAGGAATGACAGATTTTATCTTTTTTAAGTAGTTGTAGTAATTTGGAAAACATTATTATTAAAATCAATTCCTCCTCCCTACAGAATTAGACACAGTTGTTTAATACACAGAAAGCTTCAGGAGTAGAAATAGCTTGTCTTTGCATGATTCTTGCTGTGTCTCCCTGCCTGATGAGAGATGCTTTCTGTTGTAACATATTATAAGACGTTTTATATAATTTTGTTAGAATTAATCAGGTTTATTTGATATGGCTGAAAAGAAAAGCTCTTGAAACAAATTCTGAGTATGAGGTACCTTTGAAAATCCTGGATGTTGGCTACTGCCACATTTTATTATAATAATTTTACTATTACTGTATTTGGTTTTGGTCTTTGAGATTCAGCTCTATATCTGTCAGATCTTTTTTGTTTGATTTTATTTTACTTTAAGTCAGCAACGATAGATGTAGCAATATGTTATAGAGATTAGACAGTGGTAGAGTCTGGAAATAAGGCTGTTCTTATTTTTAAATAAAAGTAACAACTAAATATTGCTACAGATGCTGCTGCATTGGGAGTAATTCTGTAATAAGGACAGAAGAGGCAGCTCTCTTGTACTCTATTTCCAACACTGTGCTTGTGAAAAGTTTAGCAAGAAAATGAACTTTTCATGACTAGCTTCCAGGATCTGTAAAGTGATTATAATGACAATTCCAGTCTCCAGAGGATCTCATATGATTGATGCATCCTGGGACTTCCTGATGAAAATCTCATGAAAAATATTTTTTACTGGCCACACCTTTTACAAACCAATATATTTCATGAAAAAGTTGAATTGTTTACTATTTTGTTTATTTTAGAGGCTGTATCTTAGATATAG